CTCCCCCCTCTGCCGGTGCCCCTCACTCCCAACCCGCAGCCCCTGCTAGCCCAGCCCTGGGCTCCCCGCTTCCCCCCTCTGCTGGTGCCCCTCATTCCCGACCCACAGCCCCTGCTAGCCCAGCCCTGGGCTCCCTCCAGCTCTGCCAGTGCCCCTCACTCCTGACCCGCAGCCCCTGCTAGCCCAGCCCTACCCCGCCCCCCAGCTCTGCCAGTGCCCCTCACTCATGACCCGCAGCCCGGCTCTGGGCTCCCTCCCCCCACTCTGCTGCTGCCCCTCAGTCCCGACCCACAGGCCCCCTCCCCTTTCTGTTATCCCAGCCCAGGGTGGATCTGGGCAGCGAGGTGACTGGTCTCTGTGGGGCCAGGCTGGGCACTAGCACCCACATGGATCGGGTCACCCCTTGCTTTGGGGTGTCCCGCGGAGGTGGCTCCCCTGCTGGCCGCTGGCGGAAGTGCCGGCAGGCTGCCCGCCAGGCTGCCCAGGGACCCTGTCCGGGTGCCTCTCAGGGCCCGTGCCAGACGCACCGGGGGAATCCATGGGGCAGCGGCTGGGGACGGGAGCCGCCGGGATGCCCCTCGCTGGCTGTCCCGCCTCCCACTGAGCTCCCAGCACCCACTGAGCAGCGCAGAGACTCTGCAGGGTGCTGGGGACCCCTCGCCCCTCCCCCCAGTGCAGCACCCGCAGCTCCCCCTGCCCGCGCTGCTTACCGGGACCCGGGGGGTCGTCGCCTGCAGGGTTCGGATGCTGCGGTTCAGGGTTTGCTGGGGACAGAGACAGGAGGGTTAGGTGGGGGAGGGGATTCCTCTGCCCCCCACAGCTCCAGCTAGGGAGGGGGACGCGGCGTGTCCCAGGCCCTTCCCCACTCCCTGCCCCGGGGGACCCTGCTCCCAGCTCGGGGGAAGCACCAGGGGCCCATGGGGTCACTCACCATCTCCGGCAGGAAGCGGGACTGGATCTGCCCATTGATCTGTCTCAGGTCAGACGCCTCCTCCTGCAGCTCCTGCCTCGTGGTCAGGTTGCGCTGAACCAAGGGGGGGGAGAGAGTCAGAGGCACCTGCCCGGCCCAGCCCCCCCCTCCCCCCCAGTCCCCAGGGCCACAGCCCGGGGGGAGCCAGAGCAGGACGAGCCAGGCAGCCCCTGGGGAGCCGGCTCCCCGGCCTGCACTCCCCACCCCACCCGCCTCCCAGGGGAGGGGAGCGATCAGCAATGACAAGAGCCCCCCCAGGCAGCACCCCAGTGACCCTGGGGAGCCCACACCCAGCGCTGACGCTCCCTGGGGCCGGGCGCAGGGCGGTTCCCGGCGTCACTCACAGACCCATTGGCCAGCCCCTCCAGCTGCTCCGCCAGCGCCAGCAGGTCCCGCTGCGTCACGTTCCTCTCCAGCTGGAAGAGACGAGCAGAGAGTTGGGGGGACAGACCCCATCACACCAGGGATCTCCCCTGGGCCGAGGCGGGGGGGGGACAGACCCCGTCACACCAGGGATCTCCCCTGGGCCGAGGCGGGGGGAGGGACAGACCCCGTCACACCAGGGATCTCCC